CCCCCTCCCGGGGAGGGGGGAGCTGCGCAGACAGCGGCGCGGCAGTGTGTGACGTCACACTAGTTTGCTTGTTTTCGGTTGGGGAGTTCTATCCACTAGTTCGGTTTTAGGTAGCAATTTTAACCAGAATAGGGGTTTGTTTTGGGGCGCTTACCTTTCTGGGTGCCTGTTCCGGTCGATGGCAGACATAGAATGCTTCCAACTACACGGGGGCTTCTATAGGCCATTGCTCCCCTTGCCTCTCTGAGGGGGCCCGGTTCTGGTCGTGGTCCCCGGTAGGCCTAAGAACTCCATACACATGACTGATGCCAAAGTCTGACATTAGCATATCAGCCTGGGATAGCTCCGGGGAGCCTCCGGGACTCACCCAGAAAATGGCGTTTCATTACATTCAACGCTGGTTTTTTGAAAACGGAGCCTAGATACTGGCATCATCCCTGACATCCTTCAGCACTTAATAATCACTTAACTTCATCACCACCTACATCATCACTTAAAACAGCAGAGATAGTAAAGGAGATAGTAAAGCAAATGTAAAAAATTATAGACTAATAGCTTTAATCTTTGAAAGAGTGAATTTTAACCTTTTAGAAATCTTTGGAAGAGTGCTAAGAAGTAAGATTATAAATCACATGGAATCACATCTGCATAACCTTGGACAACACGGGTTCAGAACAGGGTGCTTCTGCCTCTCACAGTTGCTTGATCACTATGACATGGCCTCAGGTGCCATGGAAGACAAGCAAAGTGCAGATATAATATACACAGACTTTGCAAAAGCCTTTGACAGATGTGACCATGGTGTTATTACGTAAAAAATGCGTGGAAAAGGAATTATGGCAAAGTAGGGAGATGGATGTCCACAGTTGTTTAACATCCTCCCAGCGAGCATAAGAAATATTGCCGGAACAACCATGGACATCTTCAAGAGAAAACTAGATAATTTTCTCCAAGTAGTGCCAGACCAACCGGGCTGTAGTGGATATGTAGGTCCGCAGACCGCTGCAAGCAACAGTCTAGTGGACCAAACTCTCACAAGTCAACCAGGTTTGGGAAGTAGAACAACTCCCAGAACCCCATCAAGCAGAATCTTCAACTTCCTAATGAACAGAACGCAGAGTGTAATAGTCAACACAGTAAAATTTGAATCATTTACTGTGAAAAGCTCAGTCCCCCAAGATACTGTACTTGCTTAGGTACTTTTTCTCATCCTAATATCAGACATAAACAAGGATATAAACTACAGCACTGTATCATCATTTGCAGACAACACTAGGATTTTCATGCGAATAGACAATATAGAGGATATGGCAATCCTGTAATCTGATGTAAATCAGGTCTTTTAGTGGGCCACAGATAATAATGATTTTTATAGAAAATACGTTCCAGCTCCTGCTCTATGGATAAAATGAAAATTTAAAAATGGAAACCACATATAAAACTGAATCAAATTACACTATAGAATAAAAAGCATTGTAAAGGATCTAGAAGTAATCATGTCAGAAAACCTTACCTTTACAGATCACCATAAAGTAGCTGTCACGACTGCAAGAAAAATGGCAGGTTGGATAACAAAGACTGTCCAAACAAGGGATGCCATACCAATGATGATACTTTTCAATACACTAGTGCTCTTTAGTGTGGAATATTGTTGGACTCTAACAGCCCCATTCAGAGCTGAGAAATTGCTGACCTGAAGAGTGTGCAAAGATCCTTTACCGCTAGAATCCACTCTATAAGTCATCTTTATTATTGGGACTGATTAAAAGTTCTGTAAATCTGTATTCTCTAAGAGTGCAGACAAGAGAGATACATAATAATCTACACGTGGAAGATATTAGAGGGACTGGTTCCTAATCTGAACACAGAAATAACATTGCGCGAGACCAGTAGGCATGGCAGAATGTGCAAAATTAGAGGTGCAATAGGTACGCTGAGGGAGAACTCTACCAACATCAGGTGCCCAAGACTTTTCAACGCTCTTCTGCTACACGTAAGGAACATAACTGACTGACCTTTCACAGTATTCAAGAGAGAATTCGACAAACACCTCCAAAGAATACCTGATCAACCAAGCTATGATTCATGTCAGGCTACAAGCAGCTGCATCCAACAGCCCGGTTGACCAGACGACCAACCAGGAGTTCTGGTCGGAGACAGGGTCGTAGGGCTGTTGATCCCCAGAAGCTACACAAGGTAGACATGGTAGGTAGATACTATTTTTATATTAAAAAAAACTTTCCGCTGATCAGATGGATGGTACACATGTACTCTTGATTCCAAGCATTCAATCCTCCCTACAGACTTCCTTTACCCACAAACAGTGGGACCTCACTATAACAAGCAGCACTACAACAAATTCAACAAGAGCACATGCACATTTTAATTCAGCTAAATGTTGTCTTGTAAAATGAAAAATATATATATTTGTTTACCTAAGCCACCACCATGCTAGCCAGTTTGGACATGGCAGTCATGGTGTCGTCAACATCAGACACGATTTATACCCACTATATCAAATATTAAAGGGTCAAAACCTAGCCGAGAATACAGTATATTGAAATGCCCTTTTCTGGTGAACCACTCAGTAGCTATAGTACAGGGGTTGCCAAACCTTACGGAACTGCATCAGGCATATGAGACCAACTCAAGTCTACGGAATCTGGTTCTCTCTACAGACAACATGAGAAAGATTAACTTGGAATAAGGGTCCCAGGGTGACAGGAGCAACCCACAGAGCACCCACCAAGGCAGAACCAGTGGCACAATGGTAGTGGCAGAGAGCTGCCACCGGACACATAACATGATGCACCCACAGCCGAACCAAACAAGCATCAGTGACCAAAGGAGCCCTTCTGAAGCTCCCGATTCATTCTTTCCCAGAAAAGTTGGAGCCAACTGCAGCTCAAGGACTGGCTGGGAGCCCACATGAGCCAGTGGTCAAGGTAGGCCAGTAACTCAGTAAATGAAGATGAGCCATGACAAATTGTCCCAAGTTCGTGAACACGCGTGGAGAAAAATTTAGCCCAAATTTAGTCTGCGAATATTACATCTGCGTTTTGCTTGTCTTCCATGGCACCTAAGGCTATGTTATTGTGATCTAGCAAATGTGAAAGGCAGGAACGCCTTTTTCTGAACCCGTGTTGTCCAGGGTTATTTGTATGTTGTGATTCCATGTGATTTGTAATATTACTTTTTAGCACTCAAAGATTTTTATGATATGTGAGGTTAGAGCTATTGGTCTATAATTTTTTGCATTAGCTTTACTACCTCCTTTGAGAAAAGGAGGCACATGACCCCAGTATCTAGGCTCTGTCTTCAAAATATGTTTAGGGCCTGTAATAGTGGTGTTTTGCACTTCTTGATGAATATAGAATTCCATGAGTCTGGGCCTGGTGCAGAGTGCATGGGCATGCTGTCTATGGCTACTTCAAAGTCCTGTGAGGGTTAGGGTGACATCTGATATGTGGTTTGATGTTGGTGTCACATTCACAATGAATTAATTTGTATCATTGATCATCAATGTGGTCAGGGGTTTACTGAAAACAATCATTCTGAAGACAGTATTTCACTCATTTCTTTGTTGTCATCTGTGTAAGTTTCATCACCCTTGCACAAGGGCCCAATGCTGGATGCAATTTTTGTCTTGTTTTTGTGTATGAGAAAAAAGTATATCGGGTTCCCCTCTATTTCATTTATGGCCTTTTGCTCCCTTTGCCTCTCTTGGATTTTATATGATCCTCTCAGCTTCAGCTCGACCATTTCTATTTCCCTACATAGCCTTCCTCATCATTGTTGGGATAGAGTGGAGCATTTAAGATGTTCTGTTATTTGTTTTCTTCACCTATAGAGGGAGTGCCATTCTTTGTTCTAGTTTGCATATTTTTCTCTCTTAGTGGTATATGCCGTCTACATGTTTCTGGTGCTACAGTGCCTATTATCTCGAAGCACTGGTTTAAGTCTGTATTATGTAGTTGTTGTTCCTAGCATAGTTCTGCGAGGTCTTGGTTTATTCTTTCCCAGTTGATCAGTTTGTTATTAAAATTAAATTTCCTGAATTCTCCTCCTCTGGGACTTGAGATTGGCTGCACAGATCTATTGCCCTTGCTCGTCTGAACTTCGATCAGGTTGTGATCTGGATAACAAGTAGTTGTAATCATTATGTCTCTAATCAGCTCATTGTTGTTAGTAAATATAAGGTCTATGATGTTTTCTTTCCTAGTTTTCTCTACTATTTGCTGGTTTAGAGCAAATCTGTCACACATCTGCAAGAGGTTATTTGTGTCTGACTGTTCATTCAGACTGCTTCCTGGGATTCTCTCTGCCATAATAGTGTTTGCCAAATTTTTCCATTTTAGATGTTGTAAGTTGAACTCGCCAAGCAAGATGACGTTAAGGGCAGGGTTTGTGAGGTTCTCTAAGCAGTATTCTATTTTCATAAGTTGGTCTTTAAACTGCTGAGGAATTGCATCAGGGGATTTATATAAAGGACACATTTAGAATTTCTATTTTGGTTATCAGCACTTCCACCATGTCGTTTGTGGTGTTTAGCATCTCTGTGCAGATGAGGGTGTCTTTGATGTACAGGCTGACCCCACCCTGTAGCCTGTGTTTCCTGTCACACCTGAAAAGATTGTACTCCGGTGTCCATATTTCACTGTCAGAATAGTCCTTAGTGTGAGTTTCAGTTAAAGCTGCGAACATTGCATTTGCCTCATTTAAGAGGCCAGTTATAAAGTGAACTTTGTTTGTATTGCCTGTTTTGATTCCTTATATGAAAGTTGTTGTGGTATTTGTGGAAGTGCTGGGTATTTTACTTGGTGTTAGTATCTGTGGTTCTGGTAAGGCTGCCTCATTATCTGTGTCCTGTTTAGCATCTGATCGAGTTGATGGTACAGTTTGGACATGTTTTGTCATTCTTTTGTCATTTATTATTTGTGTCATTTATTTATTTTGTGCCATTTACTAAATATTAATAAATATTTAATTTTTATTTTCAGGGTTTGTGCCTCATATTGACAAATTATTTGATGAGAGCCTACTGTTTGGACGAGGTTGGACTGCACATGAAACATTACGACCTTTGGCCTATTCTACCTTAGCAGACCTAGTTCATCATGTTCGACAACAGTTGGATATGGGAGCATTAACTCGTGCAGTACACCTGTTTTCTAAAAATATCCATGATGAAACGCTTCCTACCAGCATTCAAACTATGTCTTGCAAACTCTTGCTCAATCTGGTTGATTGTATTCGAACCCGAAGTGATGCAAACCCCAGTGAACCAGGTGCTGGGAGGGACTTGCTCATTCGAATGCTTCATGTGTTTGTCAATAAATTTAAGACTATTGCCCAGTTGCAACTGCCATACTTGAAAAACAAGCAGCAACAGCAGCTAAATATTCTTTCTCTCCAAACTGCTTCACAAAATATTAGTAGTAATGTTAATGGACCAAATGCATCTACTTCCTCTGTTCCAGAGGACAGAAAAGAGGACGTTAGAATGAGCATTAATGAGAGTGACAGTAAAGACAAGGAAACACAGAGGATTGGTTTTCCCCCAAATGTGACTGTTAACTATAGTGTTTCAGATTGCAGAGCTTTGGTTAAGACTCTTGTTTGTGGCGTCAAAACAATAACTTGGGGCTGTGCCTCGTGTAAATCGGCTGTAGACCCAGTGTTAACACTTAACAAATCATTCCATCCCAAAGAAACTCTTGTATTTATTAGGTTAGTGAAGTGGGCTATGCAAGCACTTGATATCTACACCCTCAATGCACCCGGAAATCAACAACCTACAAGTCAGAAAACGCAGGTACCACAAACTGTTAGATCAAAAGAAGAAAAGGAGGTCTTGGAACATTTTGCTGGTGTATTTATAATGATGAATCCATCTACATTTAGAGAGATTTTTTCTACTACTATAGACTATGTGGTAGAACGAATTTATCATAATACAGCCTTGCAAATTGTTGCCAACTCGTTTCTTGCAAACTCAACTACATCTCCAATATTTGCAACAATACTTGTTGAATATTTACTGGGTCATATGGAAGAGATGGGTACATCAATGGATAGATCACACTTATATCTTAAACTTTTTAAACTAGTCTTTGGATCTGTTTCTCTTTTTGCTGCTGAAAATGAGCAGATGCTGAAACCTCACCTACACCAAATTGTAAACAGATCAATGGAGTTAGCAATGAGCGCCAAAGATCCGTACAACTATTTTTTGCTGCTGCGTGCTCTCTTCCGATCTATTGGCGGAGGAAGTCATGATCTTCTTTATCAAGAGTTTCTTCCTCTGTTACCAACATTACTGCAAGGTCTTAATAGCCTACAAAGTGGTCTTCACAAACAGCACATGAAAGATCTCTTCGTAGAGTTGTGTCTCACAGTGCCAGTTAGACTGTCTTCCTTGCTTCCTTATTTGCCTATGCTCATGGACCCATTGGTATCTGCTCTTAATGGCTCACAGACACTCATATCACAAGGTCTTAGAACACTTGAGCTCTGTGTTGACAATTTGCAGCCTGACTTTCTATATGAGCACATACAACCTGTAAGAGCAGAACTAATGCAAGCACTGTGGAAGACACTAAGGAATCCCAATGACACCATTGCTCAGGTGGCCTTCCGAGTTCTTGGCAAGTTTGGTGGTGGTAATCGGAAAATGATGATTGAGCCTCAGAAACTAGAGTACAGTGAGCAAGAAACTCCAAGCACCTGTGTCACCATCCAGTTTTCTGACCACAAAGCACCAATTACCTTGCCAGCAGAGAAAATCATAGAGACAGCTTTCACAGCCCTAAAGACATCAAACACTGAACCTTGGTACCGTCGTCAGTGCTGGGAGGTGATCAGGTGTTTCCTTATTGGATCAATGCAGTTTGATGAAGAGAAACACTTGGTTAATAAGCTGTTTACACATCCCAGCTTCAGAGAGGGTGAAATTTCGACTGTACATGGCCCCTATTATAAGTGCAATGATGACCAAGCCCGGCAAGTTCATCAAATGGCTGTTACTGCTATGTTTGTTGCAGCTGCAATTAAAGACTTACGTCAGAGTGTATTGCCGACAATGGTGTCATTGGTGAGACATTATACAATGGTAGCTATTGCCCAGCAGGCAGGCCCATTTAATATGATGGGTCGCTGGAGTAAAGTGCAGGGTATGGACCCTTTAGTTCTAATAGATGCTCTTGCTGTTATTATGGGTCATGAAGAAAAAGAATTGTGTAAGCCTGGTCATCTTGCTCTTGTGCTCATTATGGAAGCAGCTACCAACATCTTGGGTACAAAAGAACGAGCATGCCAACTCCCACTTATGGAATATTTGGTAGAGAAGATGTGCGGTCTGTGCTATGAACGAGCATGGTATGCAAAGTTGGGAGGCTGTATTGCAATAAAGTTTCTTTTTGAACGCATGGCCCTAAAGTGGGTATTGGAACATCAATTCCCATTCTTAAGAGCACTATTATTTGTTATGATGGATCTCACGGGAGAAGTATCAAGTGGCGCTGTAGATATGGCAAAAAACAATTTAGAAAGAATGTTGCGAGTTTGTGGAGCACCACTTGAAGGTGAAAATAGCACGGAGGATATGAGACAAATTCAAAATAAATCACTTCATGATGTAACTCATGAGCTGGTACGTCAGGTTACCTCTCCAAATACAACAGTAAGAGAACAAGCAATGCAGTCTCTCCACGTTTTGGCAAAGCTCGGTGGCAAAGGGGTAACCGAAGTTATGCAACCACACAAAGATGTCTTGGCAGATATGATTCCTCCCAAAAAACATCCCCTGCGACAACAACCAGCTAATGTCCAAATTGGTTTAATGGATGGTAACACATTCTGTACAACTCTTGAACCAAGACTTTTTACTCTTGACTTAAGTTTGAATGAGCACAAATTTTTCTTCACTGAATTGCATATGTTGGTTGAAACTGAAGACTCCTTCTTGGCTAAACTGTCTTGTTACAAAAATATTGCTAATTTGGTACCACTAAGAAAATCTGCTCTTAAGGCTCTTGCTGCATGCCATTACATTCCTCAGATAAGAGAGAAAATTTTTCCGACATTGTATAAGGCTTTGAACAATTCATCCCATCCTGAGTTACAGGAGACAGCCTTTGAGTGCTTAAAGAAGTTTCAGAGTGGCTGCCAGATAGACATGGAGATGGTGCATACAGCAATGCGGCCCTTATTGGGACAGCTTTGTCACTACAGGAGTGTCACGCTACCGGTCATTCACCGTTTATCATACTTAACTCAGTTGTTCCCGTACACTTTCAATGAGAAGCTGTGTGAGCAGCTCACTCAGCATGTGAAGAACCTTATAGAAATGGCCATTGTAGCAAGAAAACAAAGCACTTCAGTGAGCAAGCAAGATAATAATGATCTCAAACTTTGTGCAAATATTGTTGGCATTTTCCATCAAATCCCAGCAGCCTCTGCACGATTTGTTGAAGTTTTATGTAAGCTGGTGTTGCAAACTGAGCGAGCCTTGCTAATAGAGGCAGGTAGTCCATTCCGAGAACCTTTAATGAAATTTCTCCTAAGATACCCTGCAGAAACGGTTGAACTTTTCCTTTCTGATCCTCATGCACGTGATCAGCAGTGGGCTCGCTATTTGGAATATTTGGTGCGCCACAAAGATAATGCTGCATTTAGGCAACACTTGCAATCTTGCATTGAAAAATTATTAAGTGTGGTAATGGCTAACCCAACACCAGTACAGATAGCAGGATTGCAGTCACAGCAGCAGCAGCAGCCTGCTATTACAGCTGCTGACAGAGCTCAGCTTCAGTATTTAGGAGTGCGTGTTATTTTGTTACTTTCTCGTTCTGATGACCAGTGGCTCTCATCACAAACTAAATTAGTTGTGGCTCTCAGGAATATATGGGTGTCTGATGAATTCCAAGAAAGACATCATTCTGCTGAAAACACTGATTTTATGCACTGGAAGGAACCACGTATGGTGGTATCAATTCTTCTGATGTATTTCAAGCTTCATACGGATGATATTAAGCTCCTTTTCCAGCTTTTAAGGGCTTTCATTGGACGGTTTATTCCAGACTTCCAGTTCTTAAGAGACTTCCTTGAGCAAAAAGTTGCACAAACATATTCTGTAGATTGGAAAAGATCCGCATTCTTTCAATTTGTTGAAGTCTTTGAGGATGTTTCAGTTCCACAAGAACTTAAGGCACGAATCTTGCAGTATATAATCATTCCTTGTTTGACTGTGAGCTTAGAGTGTGGTGATGGAGAGAAACTAATTGGCTATCCCCCGGCCCCAGATCAAGATTACCATGACAATGTGGTGTCTGTCTTTATTACAAGAGTCATAAATCCTGATGAGCCTTTTGTCTACAGTGATGCAGTGAGAATTCTTCTTCTTCAGCTTTCGTGTCTCTTGGTAGAGCAAGCATCAGCTCATATTCATGATGCAGGTAACAAAAGGCAGGGTCAGAAACTTCGCAGGCTCATGACCTTTGCATGGCCTTGTTTACTCTCAAAGAATTGTGTAGATCCTGCCACAAAATATCATGGACATCTCCTGCTGTCACACATTATAGCCAAATTTGCTATACACAAGCGTATAGTTCTACAGGTGTTCCACAGTTTGCTGAAAGCACATGCAATGGAGGCAAGATCCGTTGTTCGACAAGCTCTGGAAATACTCACACCAGCCATGCCAGTACGGATGGAAGATGGTGAGTATTGCTATTGTTAACAAATAAGTTTTAATATCAGTAATTTCTATGGTAATCAATAATTTTCAGTCAAACTTGGTATGCTTTATTGTGCATTGGTTTAATAGTGGAATGGCTCTGGTTACCACTGGGAGGCAATTACCTCTGTGATTATTTTGTTTTGAGCAAATTTGTACACAATCAAATCTAGATAAAAATTCTTAAATAGTTTATAAGTACAGTTCTGTATAGTATGTTTATGTTCTGTCATCATTTAGAATTAAGGGTGAATGATGAGGTAATAGAACTTCATATGATATAATTTTATATGGTTGCTTTCTGTGGGGAGTCCCATCGACTTCCTGAAGCTAGCTTACTGATAATGGGCCACACTACTTGGAGTCATCAGTCAGTAGAGTTCTCTTGCTGATGTTCATAAGTTTCAAGCAGCGAGGCTTTGCATCACCGGTTTTCGGTCCTACAACACTCTAGGTTGTGTGCCTGGTTGGAGATGCCCCATTTGAGTTTTAGCGACCTGGATTTGGAGGTGTTGGTCAATTCAACCTTGGTACCATCTACCCCTTCTTTTCCTTCCCAAGTTGGTCTGGTTCACCCTCCCCTCCCCCATTGCATTAGGCTCCCAAATGTCTGAGGGTTTCGGAGTCAGGCCTGATTTTAACTCAGGAGCCGGTCGGCCGAGCGGACAGCACGCGGGACTTGTGATCCTGTGGTCCTGGGTTCGATCCCAGGTGCCGGCGAGAAACAATGGGCAGAGTTTCTTTCACCCTATGCCCCTGTTACCTAGCAGTAAATAGGTACCTGGGTGTTAGTCAGCTGTCACGGGCTGCTTCCTGGGGGTGGAGGCCTGGTCGAGGACCGGGCCGCGGGGACACTAAAAAGCCCCGAAATCATCTCAAGATAACCTCAAGATAGGACAAGGCTTGGGTGGTTCTGGGGGCTGCCCCTTGAAATGCAAGTGCAGAGGTAGTTGAGCTTCTCTTTTCCGCCGGGCTTCAGGGTCTTCTCAGCACACCCTTCTTTGAAGCCTTCCCCCTGTGCTCTGCTTTTTCTTCTCAGGTGGTGGACGTGGATATGGGCTCTGCCCCGGGGCCTTTGTCGATGGTTCCCAAGGCTCCGGGAGGGGGGGGGGGGGGTCTGAGTGGAGATCTTGAAATCCATTTGACCCTGTTTGGGCTCAGGGTTTGGGTTTGACCCTGCCCAGGGGCTACTTCTACATGTAGGGGGGGGGGGGTTTGTATTCCCCCTTCCTTCTATGAGTTTGAGTAGGGTGGGGCTCCCTCCAGGGTTCGTTTCTGGGTGCCTCTGGGTTTGTCAGATTCGTCTTTCCAAAGATTTTCTTACGCTCGTATTTTTCCTGCTGTCTCTGCTGAGGTTCGGGAGGCTCTCGGTGTGTAATTTCTGCAAGACCCAGTTTACTCCTCGGTGATGGATCCAGTTTCTTTTGAGTTCAGTTCTCCTTTTTCTCTTATTGGGCGCGTTATGAGGTTCCGCAGTCTTCCTGGCTGGCAGACTGTCCACTTGGGGCATGGCACAGCTGTCATGCCTGCATGCTTGAATGGTGGGAGGTGTCCTAGGTGTTGCAGGTATTTTGGGGGGCTCTTTGAAATTTCTTAATGAGTGTACTCACCTAGTTGTGCTTGCGGGGGTTGAGCTCTGGCTCTTTGGTCCCGCCTCTCAACTGTCAATCAACAGGTGTACAGGTTCCTGAGCCTATTGGGCTCTATCATATCTATACTTGAAACTGTGTATGGAGTCAGCCTCCACCACATCACTTCCTAATGCATTCCATTTGTCAACCACTCTGACACTAAAAAAGTTCTTTCTAATATCTCTGTGGCTCATTTGGGCACTCAGTTTCCACCTGTGTCCCCTAGTGCGTGTGCCCCTTGTGTTAAACAGCCTGTCTTTATCAACCCTGTCAATTCCCTTGAGGATCTTGAATGTGGTGATCATGTCCCCCCTAACTCTTCTGTCTTCCAACGAAGTGAGGTTTAATTCCCGTAGTCTCCTCGTAGCTCATACCTCTCAGCTCGGGTACTAGTCTGGTGGCAAACCTTTGAACCTTTTCCATTTTAGTCTTATGCTTGACTAGATATGGACTCCATGCTGGTGCCGCATACTCCAGGATTGGTCTGACATATGTGGTATATAATGTTCTGAAAGATTCCTTACACAAGTTTCTAAAGGCCGTTCTTATGTTAGCCAACCTGGCATATGCTGCTGCTGTTATCCTCTTGATGTGAGCATCAGGGGACAGGTCTGGCGTGATATCAACCCCCAGGTCTTTCTCTCTCTCGGACTCTTGAAGTATTTCATCTCCCAAGTGATACCTTGTATCTGGTCTCCTTCTTCCTACCCCTATCTTCATTACATTACATTTGTTTGGATTAAACTCTAACAGCCATTTGTTCGACCATTCCTGCAGCTTGTCCAGGTCTTCTTGAAGCCTCAAGCTGTCCTCCTCTGTCTTAATCCTTCTCATAATTTTGGCGTCGTCAGCAAACATTGAGAGGAATGAGTCTATACCCTCTGGCAGATCATTTACGTATATCAGAAACAGGATAGGTCCAAGTACAGAGCCCTGTGGGACTCCACTGGTGACTTCACGCCAGTCTGAGGTCTCACCCCTCACTGTAACTCTCTGCTTCCTATTGTTTAGGTACTCCCTTATCCACTGGAGCGCCCTACCAGTTACTCCTGCCTGTTTCTCTAGCTTATGCATCAACCTTTTATGGGGTACTGTGTCAAAGGCTTTCCGACAGTCCAAAAAAATGCAGTCCGCCCACCCTTCTCTTTCTTGTTTAATCTTTGTCACCTGATCGTAGAATTCTATCAATCCTGTAAGGCAAGATTTACCCTCCCTGAACCCGTGTTGATGGGTTGTCACGAAGTCTCTTCTCTCCAGATGTGTTACTAGGTTTTTTCTCACAATCTTCTCCATCACCTTGCATGGTATACAAGTTAAGGACACTGGCCTGTAGTTCAGTGCCTCTTGTCTGTCACCCTTTTTGTATATTGGTACTACATTAGCAGTCTTCCATATTTCTGGTAGGTCCCCCGTTTCCAGTGACCTACTATACACTATGGAGAGTGGTAGGCAAAGTGCTCCTGCACACTCTTTCAATACCCATGGCGAGATTCCATCCGGCCCAACAGCTTTTCTCACATCCAGCTCCAATAGGTGCTTCTTGACCTCATCTCTTGTAATTTCGAACCTATCCAAGGTCACCTGGTTTGCTGCCACCTCTTCTAGCGCCGCGACATCTCCCTGTTCTATTGTAAAGACCTCCTGGAACCTTTTGTTGAGTTCTTCACACACCTCTTTGTCATTCTCTGTGTACCTGTCCTCGCCCACCCTAAGTTTCATCACCTGTTCCTTCACTGTTGTCTTCCTCCTGATGTGACTGTGTAGTAGCTTGGGTTCGGTCTTGGCTTTATTAGCTATATCATTTTCATACCTTTTCTCAGCTGCTCTTCTCACACTGACATACTCGTTCTTGGTTCTCTGGTATCTCTCTCTACTTTCTGGTGTTCTGTTATTATGGAAGTTCCTCCATGCCCTTTTGTTTTGCTCCTTTGCTTTCATACATTCCTTATTAAACCACGGATTCTTCCTTTGCTTCTCTGTTTTTTCCTGTTGGGCTGGGACAAACCTGCTTACAGCTTCCTGACATTTTTGGGTGACATAGTCCATCATGTCTTGTACGGACTTTGTTCCGAGTTCTGTGTCCCAATGTATATCCCATAGGAATTTATTCATTTCCTCATAATTTCCCTTTCGGTACGCCAGCCCTTTGGTTCCCAGTTCTTTTTTGGGGGTGATAATTCCAAGCTCAACCAGGTACTCAGAGCTCAATACACTGTGATCACTCATTCCCAAGGGGGCTTCCAACTTAACTTCCCTTATATCCGACTCATTTAGGGTAAATATCAGATCAAGCAAGGCTGGTTCATCCCCTCCTCTCATTCTTGTCGGTCCCTTGACGTGTTGACTTAGAAAGTTTCTTGTTGCCACATCCAGCAGCTTAGCTCTCCATGTGTCTGGGCCTCCATGTGGGTCTCTGTTCCCCCAATCTATCTTCCCATGGTTGAAGTCTCCCATGATTAGAAGTCTGGATCCATTCCTGCTAGCCACAGAAGCTGCTCTCTCTATTATATTGATGGTGGCCAAGTTGTTTCTATCATATTCTTGTCTGGGTCTTCTGTCATTTGGTGGGGGGTTATATATGACTACTATTATAATTTTCTGTCCTCCAGTTGCTATGGTGCCTGAAATGTAGTCACTGAAACCTTCACAGTTCTGAATTACCATCTCTTCGAAACTCCAACCTTCTCTTAGTAGCAGAGCTACCCCACCTCCTCCTCTCCCTTCTCTCTCGAGATCGCTCTTTCAGCTGCCTTGATGGCTGATGATTTTCGGACTTGTGGTCACTTGGCCCCCTGTCTTGCGATTCTTTAATCTTCTGGAGCTGTCTTCAGATTGGCTTTTGGACGACATGGGGGTCGCTGGGTGGAGGTCCATCTGCCGGGTTCTTTGTCTCACCTGCTTTGGCATTCCTGCTGAAGCTGTTTGTAAAAGGAGGCTGTTTTCATGTTTTTCACCTCCCGTCTTGCATGTCGGCAATCTGTGCTGGCTCTCTTTGGATTCAGCTCTCTTTTTTTCAGCTTCACCGGTTTGTCCTTTGCTGTTTGTCCCTTAACCCTTAAGCTGCTAAGGGGTCCTGAGGAGATTTACACCCCTGTGTGCAAGAAAAAAAATTCTAAATAATTATTTCGTCTTCTAAAAATGTTAATTTGTGTTCCCTGAGCACGAGAGAAATAAAAAAAAATCGTAGGTGACATATTTTGGCCGCAATAGGCCGAGGAAGTCTGGCAAAATGTGAGCGTTGACAGAGCGGTCAGCGTCACCCGAGCTGACAGGTGGAAGTTCCCACAAAGATATTATTACCTAATTATTTTAATGTCTCTGATTGATTTTTTCTTAGATTTTTTTTGCAGTA